CCCCCCCCCGGTTAAAAAAAATTTGTCTCGAAGTTTAACGTGTAGCTGGGGCGTTTCCAAATATATAGGGATACTTGCTCCTCATTTGATCTTCGCATTCCCATGTGTACTCTGGTCCTTGCTTAGAGTTCCATTATACCTTAACTATGGGAATGCAACTTTGTTTAAGCCTCTTGACTTCATGATCCATGATCTCGACTGGTTCCTCGACAAAATTGAGTTTCGTGTCGATCTGGATTTTGTCGAGAGGTACAACCATCATGTCTTCAGAGATACATTTCTTAAGGTTCAACACGTGGAAGACATTGTGCATGCTATTGAGCTCTTGGGGTAGAACGAGTCGATAGGCTACTGGGCCAATTTTGGCAAGGATCTCAAAAGGTCCCATGTATCTCGGGTTTAGTTTGCCCCTCTTTCCGAATCTTATAACTCCTTTACAAGGAGATACTCTTAACATGAGTCTATCTCCAACTTGAAATTTAAGTGGTTTTCGTCGAAAGTTGGCGTATTTCTTTTGACGATCAAGAGACGTTATCAATCGTTCCTTAATTTTCACGATCTTCTCGATGGTTTCGTGAATGATTTTCGGCCCGGTTAGCATAGTGTTCCCTACGTGTTTCTTTCCTAGTTGGGTATCACCAACTTCTACCCAACACAACGGTGAACGACACTTTCTACCATAAAGTGATTCAAATGGTGTAGCCTTTATACTCGTGTCATTGCAATTGTTATAGGATAACTCAACCAATAGTAGGTGAGTATCCCATGCATCTCCAAAGTCTATCACATATGACCTGAGCATATCCTCCAACGTTTGTATGGTCCTTTCGCTTTGACCATCTGTCTGTGGGTGATAGGCTGTACTCATATTGAGTCAAGTTCCTAATGGTCGTTGCATTATTTGCCAGAACCGAGATGTAAATCGGTTTTCTTTGTCCGAGATGACAGATGTAGCTACGTCGTGTAGCCAAACTATTTCCTTGACATAAGTCATGTCTAATTTCTCTATTTTGTCTGTTTCCCTAAGGGGGTAGGAAATGGGTAGACTTAGTCAGACGATCGATTACTACCTAAATCGTGTCATAACGGCTAGGCGTCTTGGGTACTTTTTATGATGAAGTCCATGGCGACTTGCTCCCATTTCCATTCGGGTATTTCGGGTTGTTGCAGTAAACCCGATGGTTTCTGGTATCATCCCTTTACCTTAGCGTATGTCAAGCATTTTCTCACGTAGGTGGCGATTTGTGCCTTCAAGTTCGGCCACCAATACCTTTTCTTTAAGTCAAGATACATCTTATCATATCCTGGGTGAACTGAGTATCTTGTCTTGAGAGCTTCGTCTAGTACTAGGCTCCCGATGTCGCTAAACTTTGGTACCCAAATTCGATCCATGAAACGCAAGGTTCCAACTTCCTTAGACTCGAATTATTTCTCCATAACTCGTAAGCCTTCTTCTGTCTTGTTTTCCTCCTTAAGGGCCTCTACTTGAGCTTCCCATATTAGGTCAGGAAGGTTTGATTGAATTGTTTGAGTGAGAGCTTTCACTCTGCGAGGTTTAACTCGTTCCTTTCTACTTAGGGGATCAGCTACTACATTAGCTTTTCCCGGGTGGTATCGAATCTCACACTCGTAGTTGTTCAACAACACAAGCCATCTTCATTGTCTCATGTTGACCTATTTTTTGTTGAATATGTGTTGAAGACTTTGTGGTCAGTGTGTATGTCACACTTCGTGCCATACAAGTAGTTTCACCGGATCTTTACGACGAAAATTACAACTCCCAATTCCAATTCATGGGTGGTGTAATTATTCTCGTAAGTCTTGAGTTGGCGTGAAGCATAAGCAATCACTTTGTATCTTTGCATCAGCACACATCCCATGCCCTGCTGTGATGCGTCACAATAGATGACAAAGTCTTTGGTTCCTTCTAGAAGTGAAAGGATTGGCGCACTACACAACATGTGTTTCAATTTCTGAAACGTAGATTCTTGTTGTTCTTTCCATTCGAACTTTGTATCCTTCTCCGTAAGTGTCATGAGGGGTTTAGCTATCTTTGAGAAATTTTCTATAAATCTTCTGTAATAGCATGCCAACCCTAGAAATTGACGCACCTCTGTTGGCGTTGTGGCCTGTCAACCCAAATTCTTTATGGCCTTGATCTTGGAAGGATCTACATGAATACGCTTTTCACTGACCACGTGTCCTAGAAATTGTACTTCCCCGATCTAAAATTCAAATTTCGATAATTTTGCGTACAATTTATCTTTCCTTAACAACTCCAAAATGACTTGAAGTTGTTGACCGTGTTCTTCCTATGTTCGTGAGTATATTAATATATCATCAATGAATACGATCACGGCTCATTAGATCGATGAAGACTGTTGGGCAAGAAGGTGTGATATTTCTTGTGAAGGTATTTATGTGCCTTCATGCAAGAGATGATTCTAAGGCTTTTAATGGTCTTATCTCCGTATATTATTGAGGACTCCCCGCTTGGTAAGGGTAATCGTACTGCCTTTTCGTAGCATAAGATCTCAACTCGGTGTGGCGATAACCAATCCATGCCAATGATGACATCGAAGCTATTGATGATCATAGGCATGAGTTTGACGTCAAAGGTGTGGTCTTTGAGAGTTATAAGGCAATTTTCTAGTATTTCCTGAAAACTACCAGATTCTCCGTTGTCCATTTCTACTATATAAGGCTCATATAATTTCCTAGACTTATGGCTTAAAATTTCTCTAAACTTAGGTGTAATGAAACTTCTTTCAGTATCAGAATCAAAGAGTATAGATGCATATAAACCGTTAACAGGAAATGTACCTGCCACAATGGTAGGGTCCTGATTGGCATCCTTTGTGCCAATCACAAACGCTCTTCCCCGGGCGTTTCCTTTCTCATTCCATAGCTTTGGGGAATTCCTTTTGATGTGCCCAATAAGCCCATACTCAAAGCAGACTCGATTATCAGGCAAGGCAGCCATCCCTGGGTTTGTTGTGATGGTAGGAGCAGTCGCAGGCTGTCGGAAGTATTTCTCGGTATGCCCTCTGCCTGATACAGTGCATGTGCACTTAGGGTGTTTTTCCGCGTACTGTCCTTGTGATGTGGGGGCTGCAACCGATGTCGGGGCCAGACTTTTGGTGTATGACCTGACAATTTCATGTCTCTTGTTGGGAGCTTGCTTGGGGGTACCCTTGAATTCGCTTTCGGATTTGCGCTTGTTTTCCATTGACTTGGGATATCAGTCTTCTGGACCAACGTGCCTCGTCTTATTTCTGGTTTACTTAGGCTGTAAGCCAAACTTTTGGAACTATTATATGTTGATGGCCGAGATGTCATGACCAACCCTTTAATAGGTTGAAACAATCCCTATATTTACCTTTCCACTTTCTTGTACTCAGGGTTCATAAATTTTGGGCAAAGGGTTGCAAGGTCGTTAAACCGGTTGGTGTAGGTCGAGATGTTGGTGTCGCTCATGGTCATGTTCCATAATTTTTTCTCCAATTGTTACATTTATCCCGAGGGAAATACTCCTCGGTGAGCATCTGCTTCAGTTCTTTCCAAGTTAGGGAATTAGCACTTACGAGACCCATGGTCTTGACGTGGCCTTACCACCAAGACATGGCCGCATCTGTAAAATTGCAAGCGGCAAACTTAACCTTGCTTCCCTCGACACAAGAGCTGATCTCGAAGACAGAATCAATCTTCTTGATCATTATAGTAAGTCCTACAACTCCCTCGTTCCCATAAAACATCATATGCTTGTAGTTCATAAAGTCCTTGTAGGTGCATGCTCTTTGTGCACCTTTCTCATTTCCTTTGGAGCCTTTACCTCCCGCTCCCGTTTCAGAGTTTGTGTGACTATCATTTCTATGTGCGGCTAGTGCCTCAGATATTCTTTACTCGACCATTGCCTCAATAGCCGCGTGGTCTAAGGGTGGGTTACTCTGCGCAGATTGAGCATCCTGCTCAGCTTAAAGACCTTGGCTAGATCTAGTAATTCCTGGGGGTGCCATTTCTAGATTCTGAAAGTTAGTGTCGAGACGTGAGTTAATTCGTTGAAATTAGTGAGTTCGAACCCTTAGGGTTTGGTCGTGGTGTGTTAGTGTTAATGTTAATGGAAACAGTAATACCACAACAACACAAATCTCATGTAACCATGTAAGTATAATATGCATCATATAGCATGCCGAAGTTACCAAAACAGGGGGTGGTTAGAGTATGAAAAGCTCTGAGGTTACAAAACATGCATGTATGAGCTTTTCCCCAGTAGTCTAACCCAAAAAAAGTATTAGCATCCCTCCTAGCCATTATGCTACAGAACAACAAAAGAAAACTATAATCCACAGTACACTATCAAGAGGGCCATCAACTGAACCAACTGTTTATACACAAACTCTAACGATACACCAAAAAAAGAACCTCGTGATTCCGTCCTCTCCACCTGGAGCTCCAATCTGTCTGTGTGGCTGACTTCCTCCTCCAACACCCGATGATGGAATTGGGCCTCATCCTTTGCCTCCTATAGCCGATCCTATACGAGTAGGGTCCTCATCTCCATCACGCCCCTCTCGTCCTCCAAGTACTGTACCCACTTTGTGAGCTGCATCAGAGTCAGCCTCAATAAAAAGAGCTCAAATTCCATCGTCCCTACGCGATCTAAGTGATGGGCGGTACGTGGTACCAGAAGAGAGATAAACAACTCGACCGTAGTGTACGGGTTAGGGGAGGTGCAGTAGAGAACTCCCCCACCTTGAACCGGGAGCCAATATCCTCCTGCCGCATCCAGACTCGTATCTGAGGCATCCAAGTGGTGTCTCTACATGGTTTATTTGCTGGTGAGGACGCCACTCTCTTCTAAGAGTAACAAAAGTCTTCCTCGGGGCCTACTTCACCCGGGTACCCGTGGGTTTCCTGTAAGATTGATGTGAAGGAGTGGGGTGGGGTGGTGAGATCTCCGATGAGGTGATAGTGTCCTCCTCGTCCTCGTCAGGCTCGTATTAGGAACTGAGAAGCTTTAGCCCAGCTGGTATATAGTATGGCGAAAGGACTGGCTCTGACGGGTGCTCAGCTAGAGTATAATCAGGGTGAATGTCCTCACTGTCCTCCATCTCCAAGGTGTCGACAGGGTCTGAGGTATGAAGTATCGCATGCTCCTCCTCTGATAAGGAAGTTGCACTCCACGATCCATCGCCTTCCATACTCACGAGCAAACCTGCATAAGACATCAAACATGAAAGATATTTACGAGAGATGTGAAGATCAATTAAATAATATATAATATCCAATTATAAGTATGTAATAGATAGTACTAGTAACTCCTGAGTTCCTTTACTATGTCGTAAGCCAGTGGTTCCTAGGGTAGAAAATCATCGAGTGTAGATGTCGTTGAGTCAGAAATCCTTAGACGTAGAAGTCTCTAAAAGAAGCCACATAGTATAGAATCCTTGTCTATGCATCCCATCCAGAAGTCCTCAAGCATTTAGATTGCCAACCACCGTATCCGAGTTCGGTCGTGCGTCGGTCGAACTATAATAAAACTTAGTTCTGTTGGATTAGGTGTCTAAGCCCATAAGTATAATTGGTATGTACTTGACCCGAGAGTAGCATGGTCCATTTCAGGTTGCATATCACCGGGACAATTTGATAGGATGGATATTTGAGTAAGAGGTTATTTATGATTTACTAATATATTATAAGTATAATATATTAATGGAGAAATCATATTATTTAATTAGTATTGATCAAGAATTAATTTGGAAATAATTTAGTGATCAAAAGAGACTAATTAAATTAACGAGGACTGATTATGTAAATCAGTGATATATATATATATATATATATATATATATATATATATATATATATATATATATATTGTTTGGGTTATTGACCCATGATGGGCTAAGTTTATGTAAGTATCCATGAAGAGTTAGTCCACATGAGACATGAAGAGGTACCCTTGGAATCCTACACTATATATATGTTATCCCATAGCCTAAAATCGAAGACTAGTGTTCTTGGAGTTCATATAGCCGATTTTGAGTGCCTCATAACCTTTCTCTAAAGTCCTCCATTTGTTCATGGTATGTTGTGAACCGTTTGAGGCATCACACTTGGGGTGATAAGTTCTTAAAGGCCAAATACATCAAGCTACAACAAAGAGGTAATCATCTAATCTATTTTTATGATTCAAGTAACAAATTGTATGCTAGTTGTAGGCTTCATGCTTTGGATATTTTATTGCATGTATAACTAGAGAAAACTTAGATCCAAAGCATTAGGGTTGTATGTGCACCATAGGATTGTTGTAATACATAAAACCCAACAGTGGTATCAGATCCATGGGTTATTTTATGTTATATTTGATGCATGGCTAATTGTCCAAAGCTGGAAAAAATGAAATTTTGCACTCTGCCAGGGTGAACTCGGCGATTCCACTCATGAACTCGACGAGTCCATTATCCGACTCGACAAGTTCAGAAGTCTGTTGGCAGATTTTAGGGTTTCTTGGCCAGAATTGGATTTGGATTATTACCTTAAACTGTTTTGTATCATAAAATATGTTTTTTCTGATATGGTAATGATTATCCCATCCAATTAAAAGATAAATTGTCAAATCTTGAAGTTATTACTAGTTTATATGATATGCTGATTGTTTGTAATATTTTGATTTGAAGTTATCTTATTATAAGAGTTGCATTAAGTCAAATTTGTAAAAGATAAAATTATGATTATTTTATTGGTTTTAAAATTTGATCTAAATGTTTTTTAGGAGTTACAAAACTTGCCATCAAGTTTTGGAACTCAAAAGTTTTATGGAGTTACAAATCTTGTCATCAAGTTTGGAACTCAAAAGGTTTTCAAGAGTTACAAAATTTCCCTCAAGTTTTGGTATTTGAAAAGTCTCAAATTATGAAACATTGATTTCTAAAACTCTTGTAATTAAAAGGTGCAACTCTGTCACACCCCCGAACCAGACGGCGGAAACGTCCGGGGGCTCGTGTGACTAACAATTGAATAATCATCACAATGAATATAAATGAAACATAACATCATCATTACCATGCATAATATGATACAACTTCCATTGTTTACATCAAGTACAATCTTTTAAATAACATGACCAAAACATTCAATGTATGATGTTCGACAGTACACAAAACAAAATCCCCTATTCTTGTTGATTCTTCTGCTTAACGAGTCCCTGAGAATACAAGTTATTTTGAAAACGGTCAACATCTATAATGTTGGTGAGTTCATAAGTATATTTGAGAAAATGATTTGTATAACTTTGTAATCACAAGAAAATCCTGTATTTTCTTAAAATAGTTTGGTATGTTTATGTATGATCTTGTATTAATGCATGTGTGTTATTGTTTAATAGAATGTCAAAAGTGATTGAAGAGAATAGAATGTCCCGGGACAACCCGATGTTGCCCGTAAAAGAAGAATAGTTAATGCTGTCGTACGAACACCGAGGTGGGGTACCAGTGTGAGTAAGTTACCGAGTAATCCAATCATAAAAGAAAATAGATAATGCTGTCGTACCAACACCGAAGTGGGGTACCAGTGTGAATAAGTTTCCTAGTAATCCAACATAAAAGAAAATAGTCTTCCGCAAACTTCATAACGTTAATTCCTCTAAGTGAGCCGTTATAACCATACTAAATAATGACAATTTCACCTGTCTTGGCATTTGTGAACGCCGACTAAAAAATAGAATAAGGTTATAGTCACCCTAGACTGATGTAGTCTAACTGTAGCGAACAACTCAGGTGTGGGGTGTCATCCCCGTATAGATCTATACACAAAACCCCGCTCTCCCTCCAAGAGACTCTGATTATAACTACAGGCTACGATCGAACACTTAATAGGTGTCAACCGACAAAAACTTACTAGATCCTTAATCGAATTTACGCGAAGATAAACGTATAAAACTCATTCCAGGCCCAACGAACCATGTAAGTGAGCCACTAGGGCATCGCTAAACATGTGAGTCATTTCAAAACCTAATATTAATGAGATTATATAACATGGGCCCAAAATATATGTAAAAGTACAACTAAGGCCCATTTCACATGATAGGTATTTATAGGCCCAAATAGCACGCAAATAGTATACAAAACCTAGCAAACATATAAATGGGCCACTAAGGCCCAATAACCTAGAAATGATCAAAATTAATCTTTTTGTTAGTTTATTGTTGGTTTTGGTTCAAGTATTCACTAAAATGGCATAAAAGCCCACTTTTTGTAAAAATGACGTTCTTGGCCCAATAAGCCAAAAATTTACAATTAAGGCCCAATTTTTGTAAGACTAACACTTTAGTCTCCATTTTGTTCAAAACTTGTGTTGATGACTAGTTTGTGGTAAAAATAACATTTTAAACCCATTTTTGTCAAAAATATCATTTTTGGCTTGATTTTTGTGAAAATACCCATTTTTCTGGTTTTGGGCTTTTCCGACCTAGTTGTTGGAAAGTTTGTAGAAAAATCATCGTAAGTCGAAATTTGGATCCGTAAATTCTGGAAGTTTGGAAATTTTGTCTACTTTGTTCAAAATTTTTCTCATAAGTTTTAATGGCATCTAACAAGTGTGAAATTGCTCACCTTCACAGGTTGGTCCGAAATTATTTCAAATCTGATAGATAGTTTTGTAAAATTCGCCAAAAATTGTAGAAAAATCGTATGAAAACGTTAGAGTAGTAATTTTAAAGGTAGAAACCTGAACGTTTTGCATGTAGAACAGTTTTGAAAAATATTATCATTTAGGTGGTCAAAACATTTCGAGATTGGACCAAAACTTTCGTGTGAAAGGCTGATTTTTGAGTTTAGTTTATAGATCTTGGAACACAACACTCATTTTTACTATTTTAAGTGTATAAATCCCAGATCTACTAGTTTACATGTATTGTATGTGATAACACATACTTTTCTCAAGGTTTTCATGTAGATCCAAGTGATAAACTTAATATTCTTAACATACTTTTAGATTTATGAAGTAAACAACACATAACCAACAAATAAGTCATGAAAAACACACATGTTCATGCATATACACATAGATCTACATAAAGCAACTTGTATTCTCACCCAAAACCAAGTCAAAATCGAAAATAGGGGGTATGAACTCACATTTGAGGCTTGGATTCGGTTTGATAAAGAGATTGAAGGAGATCTCGACTCTAGCAAGCCTCTTGAAGATGTTTTCGAACTTGGATGGTTCTAAGAATCATGATTCACGAAAATATGGTGTAAGAGGAGTGATTTGAGTTTAAAGATGTAGTAAATCAACTTAGTTTGTGAGATCTTACCAATGATGATGATCTTTGATGAAAACTCCTCTTGAAACACACATTTTAGAGGAAGATGAAGGAGTTCTTGAGAGAGTTTAAAGTAGTTTGAATGAGAAAAATGGAGGTGGAGTGGTGGGATTTCGGCCAAAGGGGTAGAGGAAGAGAGGGAGAAGAGATAAGGAGTTTTGCATGAAGGGTAATACACTTCTTGATACTTGTGATCATCTAGATGTATGTTATGTTATTGTGAGTTGTCATTATCCTAGTCCATGCATTCTTCCATTATTATTATTATTATTCTTATTATTATTATTATTATTATTATTATTATTATTATTTTGGATATGGGCCGAAAATTTTGGGCTAGAGGAAGAAGAGAATTAAATTGGGCTATTACTTGCCTTGGCTCGAAATCATGAGGCCCAATAATCACTTCTCGGCCCATTGGGCCCTCCTTGATGTTCACGGCCCCTTTTGAATAAAAGAAATGGAGTTTATGGCCCATTAGGGCTAGAATGAATCATCCTAGGCCTAAATGGTTCCAAATGTCGTAGATTTATGAATTGGGTCCATTTAGACCAAAGATAGTCAAGTTGAAGGTTTATTGGTCCATTAGACCCAATAAGAGAACCCTAGCTCATATTAGACTGGAACTGGGATTTCTAGGGTTTTCAACACCTTATTGACTATAATAAATATATTGAGTGAGCATAGAGTATGATATTCATTTAGAGTAAAAGCCTCACAATGGATGATGTTTTCATGAGAATAGAATTTCCCGGCTAAAAATGCTAGTTGTGACAAACTCTTGGGTTCATAACTTCAAATTAATTAAATATTTTTAATTTTGTATTTTATGTTTAGAACCTTAATGTCTTTTGAATAGTTCTAGTTACCTCTTATGGATTGTATTAAATTAATTAAAGTGTTTAATTAAAGGAGAAGATTAATAAATCCATAACAACATGGTTTAAGTTTAATTAAATTAAGAGTTTAATTTATTAATAGAATTAAACCACCAAGTGTTTTTAAAAGTTTAAAATACGCCCGCTTACTATATAAAATTAAAAGTTTAATATATTATATATGTAAAAGTAAAAGGTCAGTCTTACCGTTAGTAGGCCTCAATCACGAAGCCGATCTATAAGGGGGGTATAAGGTTACTGCTTATAAAATGGTGGTTTAATGGGTGAACACTCTCACCCACCGTTTCCTTGACTGGTGGAGGGTCGTTAGCCGAACGGGTAGGATATGACACTAAACCCTCATTAAATGTATAATGAATTATAAAGTAACTAAATATTTTATAAATTCCCAATCTTAGTTATTTTAGGAAAAATGTGAATTTGATGCTAACCCATGAAATTGCACTTTGCACCTTGCCAAAGTCGTTAGTGGAGCGTGTGTGGTTAACCGGCACACTAACTTGGACTAACATGGGTGGAAAAGGGTAGCCCGATGTTTGTCATAGATCAATGGAGCGTGTGTGCTTAACCGACACATTGATTAGGTGATAAAAGACATCGAGAGTACCAAGCTAATTTGCATGGTTATTCACACCTTGTTTGTGATCCTCGGTATCACAGTCACAAACTTGAAGGGCATAATCGAGATTAAACATGCCATTGAAAAGTTCAATGAATCTCAAAGCATCTAGGAATTTCAATTCATTTAAAACCTAAAATTCATTTTCATTTTTCATGGTGGAAATTGGTAAATCGTCATTTTCCTACCTTCAAATATTTTGCAATTGGATTACGACATCCCTCTTCCGAATTGTAAAATATTGTGTTGGGTCCTAGCCTTAATATTTCATTTTGGGTGTTATATTAAGGACTTAAATAAACTTACTTGAATTTCTCCCTTGTAGATGTCTAGTTCTGACAACTATGGTCTTCCCGAATCTTTTGGAAAAAGTTTTCCTCATGAATATGATGTCCCACGATTAGATCGTGGAGATGGAAATCATGATTCACCTCTTCCACCCCCTCCAATAATTCTCCCTGACCCACAAATCTCGTCGACTTGAAAAGTTCAAGGTCACTCAAGCCCTATTGTCTAGCAGACACCAAGATGGAAGGTCTGTGTGTGCACATGTCTTGGAGATGAAGTCACACATTGACAAGCTGGGAATGTTAGGAGTCGTTGTGTCGAGGAAGTTGGCCGTTGACTTGGTTCTTCAGTCACTTCCCGAGTCGTATAGTTCGTTTGTTAAAGACAACTATGTGACAGACCGTGACGTGACCCTTATTGATCTTACCTATTTGTTTAATTGTTTTTGAATCAGAAAGGATTTGGCGCACTGGTCAAGCAAATTTGATTGGAAGATCTATCTCCCAAACTTCCATGGACATTGACAATGGAAACATTGGAAGTCCAAAAAAGTCTTCTCTTCCCAATGGAAAGGGATCGGCCATGGTCAAGCCATTTGACCTAATGGTAAAGAGAAAGACTAAGTCTGAGATTGTTCCGTGTGCCATTCCAAAAGAATCTATTTGCTTCTACTTCCAAGAGAAGGGGCATTGGTTGCGAAGCTGCCGAATCTACCTGAAGGATCATAAGGATGGTAAAGTCAGAGTGTATGACTCTGCTTCAGGTAAGTCCACTGACTAACTCTATTAAGTTCCTATTCAGAGATTCTTAATACATGATGTAATGTAATTACATTTTGATGTTTTGTAGGATCGAAGAAAAGAAAGGAAGCTTAAAGAAAGAGTAAGCTGAATCTGATCGCGAAAAGATGGATTTCGATCGCATGGTTCGATGATCGGATTTTTGAGCTGCTGCTAGAAGTTGTGACGGATTGCTTAGGAAATGTTTAAAAACATAGTTTTCATTTGTAATTGCATTGTAAGGAAAGGTTTTCTGCATTTTATAAATAAATAAAAATTTTAATTTTGTCTTATTTTATATCTCCTTGCAATGGCATTTGTGAAAATTGATGTTTGTGTGTTTTTTAGCAATATGGATTTGATTCTTTCGTTTGTGGTGGTGTCAAGATTTACCAAATAAGGAAAGATTCTCTTCTCCCAAGTTTCAGTTGGATAGAAACTTGGAATCATTCAACTTGTATTTGATGGGTTTTGAGCATTCTAACACTCCTATGGTGTACATTCAACCCTAGAAACCTTGAATCTATGTTTTCTCTAATATACATGCATATTTGATTTTCCAAGGTTCTCATCCTAACTAGCATGTGATTGGGGTACATGAAATATAAAAACTA